AGAATACAATATTATTAACTATATTCCTCCTGCTACACATTAGATCATTAGACTTATTCATCTTACATAACTGCAAGTTTGTGCCCTTTACCTGCACCTACCCATTTTTTCTTCCTCCCTGCCCCTGGTAACCATTGGTTTACTCTGTTGCTATGTTTTTGACCTTTAGAAAAAGGATTCCATATATAAGTGAGGCTATCCAGTATTTTTATTTGTATCTTATTATTTCGCTTAGCATAATGTACTACAGGTTCATCCATGCAGGACATGTTGCAAATGGCAGTATCTCCTTCTTTTTAAAGGCTGAGTAATATTCCATTGTGTATAAGTACTGCAAAACTTGTCTTCTTAATTGGAAAAAAATGGGAACTTTCCTTCAAAATAGAAATATTTGGCAGCAAATGTGTTACTTTCATGCAGTGCTCCAGAATATCTTTCACAAGAGCCAAGGAGGTTGAGGCTCATTTGCATCTCCACTTTAATAAACGTGTATTTTTAAAAAGTAAGTAAAACCTTTACTTTTTAGAAGGACTGCTGCTGCTTGCCAATGATTCCTTGTTGGAGTAGGTCATGCTGCATCTTCTTTCTGTTCAGTGAATTGTGGGGAGTTTCCTAGTAACCCCTGTGTTGGTCTTATTGCTGAGTGATACTGTAGTCTTTTACTTTCCCTCAGTATCTTTTACACTTTCCTGTTTTAAGCTTAAGTCCCCCATTTTTAACCATTAACCTATGTCTCCTGTTTGAAATGTAATTTAAAAAAATTATTGGATTTATACATAGTAAATGAAGAATGACACCAAAATCATAAAACCCCCAATTTTGAGCATTTTGGTGTTACTGGAAAGGCCTCTGATGTGGGAAGCAGAACTGTGCATAGGAAAACACTCGAGCTCATTTGTGGCAAGAGGTTGAAATGGTTCATGGGAGCCAATGTTTTGTGTATGTGTAATCAAAAGAAAAAAAGAAATCTAAAATTAAAGCCAGTGAATAAACAAAAACGATCACTGTTTTGTTAGGTGGCAACTTCATTAAAATGAAAAAGCCAGCTGTGTAGGTCTGTTCAGACTTCGGTGAGTCACTGATTTCTGTACTCTGCTCTGGCTCACAATTGAGCATGACACAGTTTTGGTGTAGTTGCTGGCCCTGTTCACTTTGAGGCAACTGCAGCACTGTGGGCTCTGTGATGGACAAAAGCACAGGATTTTCATGTGCAATAAAACTGCCAGCACGTACAAATGCTTTAACTCGGTGGACTTTCATATGCACAATTTAAATGAGATTGGCCAACATGGGATAACAGTATTCTGTTAATTTTGCTTACATCGAAGGCCTTTTAAGGATGCAAAAACCAAAGCATTTCCTCCCAAACTTCAAGTTTTATCTTGGAAGACAAGCCATATCTATATTTGACTGTATCATATTTGGAAAGCAGAATTAAACACTAACTATCAGCTTATAGGACAGACCAAGATGTTCTGGCTGGGAATGGCAGACATATAAGATTGTGAATGGTCTCCCGTTAATGAGGAAACTTGTTTTGGTATGTTTTTCTCTGAGCATGAGCTCCTTGCCATCTGTCTACTTCACTAACACAAAACGATGTGCTTGCATTCTTGCTTTTTATGCCCCATGTGAAGAGAAAGTTTTCATTTCATTTGAACGTATTTAGATCTTTAGGGACTTTGTATTCGTAGCTGTCCTGCCCCCTTCTGTCTCTGAAGACTCACTCAGGAGATTGGAAGCTGAAGAGGGAGTCAGAAAGATGTAAACAAGCTATCATGAATTTGATTTTTATACCAGTTAGCTACCTACCCAGCTAGTCCCAGGTTTTGTTTTAACAGTTGAGGAGAGGGTGAAGAAAGCCAATAATCTTTGCAGAGGGATGTAAAAGTAAAATTCCTCTAGAAGAAAAAACTGGGCCAGCAAAGTCAAGTAAATTTGGAAAAAGAAGAGTAGACAGCCAGGACTAGACTTTGAGACCCATTGTCGCAGAGCCCGATGTTGGCCCCTGTTCCCTGAGTCTTCAAGACTCAATGCACTACTTGTTTGATCCCCACGGGACTCTGCTTTTCGCTGAGAGGCTGATTTAGTAACGGCTCTGTCCAAGGGAGGATTTGGCTGGCCAGTTGGTTCTTAAATCTACAGCCTCATCAGGCTTGTCAATTCTCTCATGTGAGAAAGTAACTGCCTTTTATGCTGCACCTCAAGTTCACAGTGGCAGTGCATGTGGTCCCCAAGGCCTGTAAGGAGGCTTCATATCTCTCTTCTCAGTTTGTAACTGAGCTTCTGTAGAGGCTCTTTGATAATGCCATGAAATGCAGGGTTTCTCCACCGACAGATCCAGTAGAGGAAATGTCTTTAGAACATAGAGCCTTTCCCAGTACCCCTGAGATTGTCGCAGGGGCCCCCTGCCTTTAATATTAATGATGATTGGAGAATACTGTTTCCAGCCATTCATACCCCAGTAAAAAATCCCTTTCCAGGCCTCTGGAGCAGCTCTTTACCAACACTATTTCCACCTCACCCAGGCTCCAGGGTCTTATCTCCTTCATCAACTCATGAAGTATGGAAGAAATCCCTTTGCTTATTTAGTACAGTTTGAGCCAATGTTGACATTTTCAAACACAGCTTAATTAAAGAACTGCAGGCATATCAAAGGAAAACAAATGCAGAGTAGCCTACAGATTTTCTGAATTTTCAGTTTTCTTATGATTACCTAAAACAGAGCTGCCATCAATTTGGCAACTTATAGGGACCTGGCTCCGTTTCCTCCACCTCAGTCATACCTAAAATAAAAGCATTAGGCCAAGTTCCTTAGATGTCTGGCTCCACAATGACTTGGGGAGACACCATGCCAAGTATAGTGGGTTCCCCTTGCCCTTTCAGATGCTGCTCCTGGCATTTTCCTCTGGCCACTAGCCCCTAGGGTATTTCCCGTAGCTCGGAGATCCATTGAACTCTCCGTGCCACACACTCACACTGATTCTGGCCTTGGAAGAGAAAGACCTTTTCAGGGACCATTTCAGATATGGCCCCCACTTGCCTCTGCCTGTTGCCCCTGGCTGGTTTCTCAATGCTCTGTTCCATATGCCTAAAAGAATCACTAACTGGTTCTTCCCTTGGGCCAAGCGTGTCTTCTCCTGCTCTTGTTTCAGCATCTAGGTATTGGCTCACTAGTGGTCCGGTGACTTGGAGGCAGGTGGTCCCGTCTTTCCTTGTAGCCTCTCTGCATTGCAAAGTTTCCTTATTTTCTCCTCTTTCAAAGCCATTTGTGGTGAACATTCCTGTTCTCTACTTCCTAACTAAGCTGGCATTTTTTTCAGGTATCCTCACTTGTGCCTGGCTGTTGATGTGTTTAAGTCAGTGGTTCTCCAGCAGGGAGAGGAGACTGGGGACAGTTTTGCACCCAAGAGGACATGTGGCAATGTCTGGAGGCATTTTTAGTTGTCATAAAGAGGAAATGTGCTACTGGTAAAGGTGAAGGATGCTGTTAAACATTCTACAATGTACAGGATAGCCCCCAACAACAAAGTATTATCTGGCTTGTAATGTCAATAATGTTGAGTTTGAGAAACTCTGGTCTTAGAGAAAGACAACTTCACCCTAATGCTAAAAGTAGGTTTGTTTGATGTGTAGGCAAATATATTCCTTTGCAGTAACTGGTTTAATAATAAATATTATCCACTCTAGGCCAATGAAACATGAGGAGAAGTTGCTGGAAGCTTCTGAGAAAGTCTCTCTGATGTTGTCAGATGAGGGTGTGAGCCCTGACTCATCTCACCACTAGCACTGGGAGTAAAGCAGAGCCAAGGGAATGGCAGGGAAATGAACTGGAGCCTCTGGACTCAATCAATCCTGGATCCCATCCTTCTGTTCAACTTCCAGGGATAGAAGCTTCTTTACTGTTCAAGTGTGTTTGAGATATACGTTGTCATTGGTGTTGCTGTTCTCACTTGCAGCCACATGAATTCTAACTGATACATCTTTACTTTTCTGGTAAGTCATTCATTTCTGCTTGCCATCTGAAGGGTGCTTCTGGCTCTTATCCAATTTTCAGAGACTTCCTGACCTTGAACAGCGATTTGGCTCAAGTCCCAGCTCTGTCCAATTATGTGTCAATGTTCAGGAGACGCTTCCAAACATGGAATTCCTTTAATAATTTTTACAATAATAAAATGCCTTCACTTGTATAATAAAAAATAATAGATCATCCATTCACAGAGCACTCAATGGGATCCAACCAACTGGGCTTTCTAAGTTTAACTGGGGCTAAAATAATAGCAAAACCTGGAGAGCCCTGTAGGAAAAGGGATGAGATCTAGAGAGGAGAGAAATTTATTTAATCATCTTATGCGTAAAAGAGAAAGTAGAACCTTGCATTTTAAAACCATGAGAGCAGGTGTTCTTTTATAGTCTTTCATATTGGCAGCTGAATGTTTATTAAAGCAAAGTACTTGGGTGGCTAGAAAAATAGACATGCTGACGTTGAGAAAGACAAAAGTTAAAAGAAGAAAAAGAAAAGCAACTCCTTTAGAAAAGAGAAAAATATTCCTGCTGGAGGGGGCAGGGGTGAGTTTGTATCTTTCTAAGATTCTGCAGATAAATTTAAGAGTAGAAAATACATAAGTAAACATCTGCTACATGTGACTTAGAAATCAAATCCCACTTCATCATTTCTTTTCCAAACTATCACTCTAATGCCAAATAGCTTATGAGCACTGAATAACTCATACTGACTTAGGCTCTTAGAAGTTATAATTATAAAATATAAATAAATATAAGTTAAATATAAGTTCTTAGAAGTTACAATTACCAACTATACAATTGGCTCTTACTAGCTCTGCTTTCCATAACAAACACCGAAGATTAGACTACTCTGTGGGATAGGAATCAAGGTAGGGTTTGTAAATGCAAAAGGCAGAAAGACAAAAGAAGTACCAAGTAGGATGTTGACACACTATTCAACATAATGTTGAACTGAAACCAGGTATTTTTCTTACCGTCATTGGAACCAAAGCTTCCATTGATGGATTTTCTCTGAAACCTGCAAATAAGCACATATACATGGGTAAGACAGTGAAAACCTCAGCGTTTTACATTTGTTTTCTATAGATTTTGTTGCAGATTTGTCTGCTAGGATCTCTTAAAAATGGGCCTTTGGGTATGAGGAAACTGCAACTTGATACATTGCTCGTGGGAATGTAAAATGATGTAGTCACTTTGGAAAACAGTTTAGTAATTCCTCAAAAAGTTAAACATAGAGTTACAACGTGACCCAGAAATCCCATTCCTAGGCATATTCATTCATTCATTCATTCATTCATTAGCTTCCAGATATAATTTACATACCATAAAATTCACCCTTTAAAGTATACAATTCAGTGAATTTTAGTGTGGTAACATAATTGTGCAACTTATCCCAAACCCATTAACAGTCACTCCCCATTCCCCACTGTCCCCAGGTCCTAGCAACCACTAATCTATTTTCTGTGTCTATAAATTTGCCTGTTCTGGACATTTCATATAAATGGAACCACATTATATGTGAACTTTTTGATGGGCTTCTTTTAACTTAGCATAATGTTTTCAAGGTTTATCCATGTTGTACAATGTATCATTACTTCTGTCTTCTTATAGCTGAGTAATATTCCATTGTATGTATATACCACATTTCATTTATTTGTTTCTATTTGATGGACATTTTGGTTGTTTCCACTTTTTGGCTAACATTAATAACATTGCTATGAATATTTGTATACAAGTTTTTGTATGAACATAAGTCTTCAATTCTCTTGGGCATATACCTAGGAGTGAAATTTCTGGGTACTTTTAAAAGTTCATGGAAAAATAGAATTAAAAATAATATGAATCTTTCCATGAACTTTTTGAATTACCCTCATATATTTAACTTTTTTTTGAACTGTTTTCCACAGCTGCCTTTTCAAGCTTCCAGAAGCAGCCTGTGTTTCTTGATTCACGGCCTTGACTTTCTCCATCTTCAAAGTACATCACTCCAATCTCTTCCTTCATCATATCTCCACCTTTTCTGCCTTTGACCTTCTTGTCTCCCTCTTACAGGACTCTTGTGAATACATTAGGGCCATGTTGCTATGGATTGATTGAATTGTGTCCCCTAATGTCCATACATTAAAGCTTAATCCCTACTGTAATGTTGAAGGTGGGAAATCTTATTATGGTAATTGAAAGGTGGGGCCTCAAAGAGGTGATTAGATTGTAGTGCGATGTCATGGTAAATGGATTAATAATGGTGGTCAGGGGCATGACTCTAAGGGATTTAAAAGGCGAGTGTGTGAGAGTTTCTCCTTCTCTGCTCCACCATTTTCTGCCATGTGAGACCCCTGCATTGCCGTAAAGCCACCAACAAAGAATACCATCACCAAATGTGTTCCCTGGACTTTGGACTTCCCAGCCTCAGAAACTATAAGCAATAAATTTCATTTTCTTATGAATTACCCAGTTCCATATATTTTGTTCCTAGCATCAGAAATGTACTAATACACAAGTAGATAATCCAAGGTATTCTTCATAACTTTATCATGTCTGTGAAGTCTCTTTAGCTATGTAAGGTAACATATTCATTGGTTCTGGTGATTAAAAGGTGGACATCTTTTGGGAGCCATTATTCTATCTACTTTTCCAATCTGTAAACACAGGATGTGTTTCTGTTTATTTAGTTCTTTAATTTCTTTCAACAATGTTTTATAAGTTTTCAATGTACAGGTCTTACCCTTGTTAAATTTATTCTTAAGTATTTTATTATTTTTGACACTTTTTGTAAATGGAATTGTTTTCTTCATTTTATTTTTGGATTGTTCATTGCTAGTGTATAGAAATACAATTGATTTTTGTATATTGATCTTGTATCCTAAAACCTTGTTGAACTCAGGGTTTCTTATTGGATTGATGAAAATATTCTGAAATTAGATAGTGGTAATGACTGTGCAACAGTGAATATACTAAAAACCACTGAGTTGTGTACTTTAAAGGAACGTTTTTTGTGGTCTATGAATTATGTGTCAATAAAGTTGCTATTTACAAACCTGGTATACCATTTGGGAATGTCTATCAAAAATTCAAATGTGAATTATTCTCTTCTCCCCACATAAGCCTTCCTTTTGAATGTGAGGTTGCAGTGGTGAGGGAGGAAAGTTGGGGGCCAGAAGCACTCATGTTTTGGTACATGCTCTTATTTACTTCCAGATGGGAGCTCTTCAAGTTGCACACAGATTCTGGTATATTTGGTAGAAGAACTTCTCTTCATAGCTCTTTTGTTCCTAAACACACCAAACTCTTCCCTACCTCAGGGGCTTTGCTCTTGCTCTCTGCCTGGGCCACTCTCTCCTCAGATCCTCACATGGCTGGCTCCTTCTTGCCATTCCGGTCTCATTTCTGAGAGGCCTTCCCTGCTGACCAAATCAAATCTAAAGTAGCTTCCCCAACCATCGTTCTCTGTCACACTGCTGTGTTTATTCTCTTCCTGCCACTACTGGAATTATTTTCTTTATTAATTGCTTACTTGCTTGTATGTTTTTCCCCTCTACAATGCAAGTCCTATTAGAGCAGGGATCTAGAGTGCCTTGTTCACAACTGTATGTCTAACCTCTGGGACAGCGCCTGGCACATGATAAGGAAATATTTGTTCAATTAACATGGCATATCATTAAGGAGAGCGGTAATGATTTGGCCCGACTGTTGTAGCTGGCAAATGAGGCTGTGAAATTCCTTCTTAATAATTTTAGTGATATTGACTGGAAAGCAATTATATGGACTCATAGAAGACGATGAGCTTGGATTATGTGTTTGTATTAACAGGCTTTACCCACATTTGTCCTAGATTTTGGAACAGATAAAATTACTCATTAGAAGAGTTAATTTACAAAGCTAGGATGAGGCAGGCAGTAGCCAGTGACAAAGGGAAAAAAGAGCAAAAACAGCCGCACCTCATCTTGAATCCAGCTCCTTCAGTTGAAAGGTGGGGTCTGTATCTTCATCTCCTATGTCTGGACTGACCTCATGGCTTGTTTTGTCCAACAGAAATGAGGGGGAAGTGATATTGTGCTACTTCTAAACCTACATCTTAAGGAGGTCATGAACTCTTCTGCTATGTCTCTTGGAGATACAATAAGCCCAGGCTAGCCTGTGGGAGGATGAGAGACCAAATGAACTTGAGGCCAGCCTAGAAGAGCCAGCTCTTAGCTGACTTGCCAGTGGATCGCACACTGTGACCACACCCAGCTGAGATCTCCAAGCCCAGCCAGATTAGCAGCACCATCTAGCTGACCCATAGATTTGTGAGCAAACTCAAATATTTATTGGTGTATGCCTGCCATTGGAGGTTTGTTTGTTTATTTATTTATTTAATGCAGCATTATTGTGGCGATGGATGATTAATGCAAGAATCAAAGGAAAGGATGAGTATCCAGGATTGGGCAGTGTGGACTCAATGTCTGGCAGGGTGATTGAGAAGAACAAATAAGAGAACATGTATGCAGGGCCTGCACATATATTGTAGCGGCTTCAATAAATATATACATGTTAAATGGATTAGGGCTGGGGGATATGCAGGGAATAGTGTTTAGGTTCAGGCCAATGCATGATAAAAGTGTCTTACCTCCCTGAGGGCAGGGGCCATGTCTCTTATCAATATTTTTCATCCTTCTCTCATAGCATGTCAAACTCCACATGTACTGATAATAAGATATAGGGGATTCATCATGTAAATGGCATTACGCTGAGAGGACTGGTTTCATATGGTCTTGTAGAAAACCTATTTTTTTGCTTAGTTCGATGAAAGAAGAGTTTTCCTATTATCATTTTCCTCAGTCTATTCTTCTATTTAGAATGCCAAATAGTTCTTATGTCTCCAGATTTCTATTTCCAGTTTGTCTATATTTGGAAAAATCTATGCTTGTGCATTTGGCTGTAGCAAAATAATCTGCAGCTAGACTTATACCACAACTGTTCAAAACTGTGTTTGCTTCTTTTGGCTGAGTAACAACTTCAGAGATACTGATAACCAGCTATCAGCTTAATTTTTTGTCTGTTTGTATGTTGACAGTGCATGCTAGCTAACTAAAGTGGGGTAATCCTGCTTCCTAAAATCTAAAACATCAGGAGTAGAAACAGTCTTCCTAAGAGCGATGGAAGAGACGAACGTCTTTTCCAAGACATTGGAGCTCATCCAAGAAGCTTTTTGGGCCCTTTTTCAATTGAATCCTCATTGGGGTGCCAGGCTTTTAGTCTGACCTCCTTGGTGAGGATCGTCATCCCTCACATTCCCTGACAACTCCAGATCCTTCTTAATCAGCCTGTCTGAGAGCTAAGACTCTGGAGCCAGGCTGCATAAGTTCAAATGCTAGCTCCTTCATTTACTGTTTGTGAATTCTTGGTCAATTTGCTTAACCTCTCCATGCCTCAATTTCCTTAACTGTTGCAGGGCGATAAACATAGTACCCTCTGTTAGGGGGCATCAGACGAAATAATGTACTTAAAGGGCTCAGCGCATTATCTAGCACAGAACAGGTACTTGTTAAATGTTAATGGCTATGATCTGATAAATTAATTGAGCTAACAATCAGTTAATGTATGTACTTTTCAGGTAAAATATTTGCCTATAGCCTGGGGTTTTTGTTTTTAATTTCAAATTTAAAGAAAAGAAGCGATAATAAGAATAAAAAAAGAGAGAACAGAATATAAAATACCTGTATACCCTTTACCTAGACTCATTAATGTATGTACTTTTCAGGTAAAATATTTGCCTATAGCCTGGGGTTTTTGTTTTTAATTTCAAATTTAAAGAAAAGAAGCAATAATAAGAATAAAAAAAGAGAGAACAGAATATAAAATACCTGTATACCCTTTACCTAGACTTACCTGTTGTTAGCATATTACTCCATTTGCTTTAATCATTCTCTCTGTTATATATACATGACCATTTGAAAGTGAGTTGCATATGTCATGGACTTTTATCCCTAAATATTGCCAAAGAATAAAAATATTCTCTTATGTAACCATAATACAGCTATCAGGTTCAGCAAATGTAACATTGATATGATACTCTAATCTACGGCTGTATTCCCATTTTGTCAACTGACCAAATAAAGTCCTTTATAGCATATTTTTCTTCTAGTACAAGTCCTAGCTTGAGATCAGGTATTGTCTTTAGTTGTCATATCTCTCTAGTGTCCTTTAATCAGGAACACCTCCATGCCTTTCTTTGTCTTTAATGACACCTTTTAACACAATGTTCATCATTTTGGGTTGTCTAATTTTTCCACATGATTAGATTCAAAAATGCATTTCTGGATTGCTGCATAAGTGATGTTTTGTCCTTCTAAGTGTGTCACGTCCAGACACAATGTTCATCTTTCCCTGGTGATAATTAATTTTGATCACCTAGTCAATGTGTTTGATTTCTCCACTGTGTAGTTACTATTTTTTCCCTTACTGCTACTAAGCGATTTGTGAGGATACACTTTAAGGCCATGCAAATATCTGATCCTCATCAGATTTCCTCCACCGACTTAGTTTCCATTGATAATTCTTATTCTGATTTAGTCTTTACTATGAAGTTTGCAAGACGATTTTTCCAACTCCTGCACTCCCTCCATATTTACTAGTCAGCTCTTGGCTCACAGCTCTTCTGTGAGTAAGAGGCCTCCCATCTACTGTCAGAATTTGTTAATGACTCCTTTCCCTAGTGGGTACCTGTTTTAGTAAATTTGTTGAATTCACTGGATATATGTCTGCAGGTATTTAGGTCCTTTCTTCTCTTATTAATAAGAACTAATAAATTTATATTTTTTCCAATGGTTTATAATTTATTATCCTCAATTATTGTGGTGCTCACATTGTCCCATATCTGGCCAGGACATTTTGGAATATAGACAGTAGATTAGATAAGAGTATCATTATGATGCTAAATTTGCTGAATCTGATAGCTATATTATGGTTATGTACGAGAATATTTTTAGTCTTTGGAAATATTTAGGGATAAAAGTTCATGTCATATGCAACTTACTTTCAAATGGTCCAGAATATATTTGTGTGTGCGTGTGTGTTTGTGTACATATATATATACATATATATATATATATATATATATATGTATATATAATGATAGAATAATAAAAGGCAGTCTCCCTAAAAAATAGTTTTACTGCCCTAAATACCCCCTGTACTCCACCTACTAAAAGAAGGGAGTTACTTTTTGAGGCAAAGATATGCCTGTATCATTGCCATGGTTTGTGTCGTTGAGGTAACCATGAGGTCCTTCTACAGATAAGGTTAATCTTGCCCAGTAGTCTCAAAACTCTCTGCTGGCTTTGTTTTCTGTACATGTTCAAGAGGAGAAAGGACATTTGCTTATTGTGAACCTCCTGCCATTCTTGTGCAGTTGTTTCATAGAGAGCACAACAAAGAGTGGAATTCTAAAGGTTCAACCCCGCTGAGAGAGGCAAGGAAAGACTGGCGCTCCAAACGCCAGTCTTTTTATTTAGGGGCTCCAAAATCTTGGGAAATTTCCTTGGTCAAATTACAGCATAATTATTTCCTTTTTTTAAAAAAAAAGATGACCGGTAAGGGGATCTTAACCCTTGACTTGGTGTTGTCAGCACCACGCTCAGCCAGCGAGCTAACCGGCCATCCCTATATGGGATCCGAACCCGGGGCCTTGGTGTTATCAGCACCGCACTATCCCGAGTGAGCCACGGGCCGGCCCTAATTATTTCCTTTTTAACCCCAAGGTACATTTTACTAGAAGATTGATGCTGCAACATTTGGAAAGCCCCTGGTAATATAGTATCAGAGCATATTACCCCTGCTATTTATTATACCTCAAGATCTATTTTGGGCATTAAATTTACTTTTTTAAAAAATCTTTTATTTAGGAAGGTTAAAAAAGGCCCATGCGGAAAGCTTGCATTTTTTTCAGTGTACAAGTCAGTGGTTTTTAATATGCTCACAAGGTTGTGCTACCACTACCACTGACTCCAGAACATTTTTATCATTTCCCAAAAAACCCCAGTTCCAATAGTAGTCACTCCTCACCCCACACCCTCCCCTCAGCCCCTTGTAATCACTAATCTACTTTCTGTCTCTACAGATTTGCCTATTTTGGACACAGACATTTCACACAAATGTAATCTTGTAATATGTGCTCTATCAAATATACTTTTTGATAAAATATTTAAAAGTGTTCCTAAATTTCCATGTTAGGAAGAACTTATAATTCCCTACATTCTGTAGGATTTACAGTGAACATTTTCTGGTCTAAAAGATATACAACTTGCCTTTTTGTTGAGGTTTCACTAACTATGAAAATAACCCACATTCTACCAGCATTTACTGTGTGCCCGACATTGATGTCAATGCTGCAGTTGTACTATTTTATGAGGTAAATTATTATCTCATTTTATAGATGAGGAAACTGAAACATAGAGAGGTTAAGTAACTTGCCCAAGGTCACACAGTTAGTGACTGAGGTAGATTTGAACCCAGTTGATATAACTCTAAAGCCTGTGCTGTAATCATTATACAAAGACAGGAAAAGGGGTTTAATATTTTCTTGAAACTTTTGACATACCTCAGATAATGAACTAACACAACAAGCAGGCATCCCAAGTAGAAGGACAAGAAGACGAAGACACTGAAAAGGCTGGATTTCACGTAAACGGATTCTGAGGGGAGAGAAACAACTTTGGTCAGGTTATCCTCAGGAGAAAAGAGAACTGTTTGGTACAGGAGAGCGCGAAGGGCCCACTTCCATCACACCCATTCTTAAGTCCTAGGAAATTTTCATTCAGAGCAGCAAAGCTACTGGAGGTCACCCAGAAGTCACCCAGAGTGGCTGCCATTCACAGTGATGACTTCCCAGTAGAAGTGGGAAGGGACTGCCTAAAAACAACTTCATAACTGAGTTCCCTTTCTTTTTGGAAGGGATTTAACAAAATGCTCTGATTCCCTCTTCTACCTCTAAGGTAAATAGACTTTAGTTTTCTTATGATGATTCTCTCTGGAGGGATGATATTTTATGAATTATATGATAGATTTCCCAACATAGGAATCTCTCCATTCATTCTAGAGCCAACACTGACCTTCAATGGAAGGAACAATGGTCACTTTAAGGATCTTTGTTCTTTGAAGATTCCATGTCTGATTCTCCTTTTCTGGTAACAAAACAAACAAAACAAAAAAACCAAGAAACAATGGATCAGATATTACATTCTTGGCCTCTCGTCTGAACAATTGTTCAAAAAATGTCCAGAATTAACTCTAGTTTCTGAAATTTATTTTAGCAAGAACTGCAGGAACATCTAACCCCAAACCTTCAAACCTTCCAATATCCCTTTTGGTTAAGATTCTCAGTTTGGCCTTTGCTTGGGTACATTTTGGTACCACTAGTTGATGTAAATGCAACTGCATCTTCCCTTCCCCAATGAAGAAGGATTGACCCTTTCCCTGATATCCACAGACATCTGAAGAAAACAGCTGCAAAAATAGATACCTACTTCTTCCTTTGGTTTGCATTTTTCTAGGCAATGAGAATTTTTTTCTCTTATCTAGTCATTGAAGGGCTCTAAGTTTATCAAGGAGCATTGGACATCAGTAAAACTCTATGGCTATATAATTAAGGGATTAAAGAACAAGAACACACTAGCAGAATGTCACCTAAATACCAAAGGAACCGTGTTATGCTCAACAGTAAACACCCTCTGTGTTGGTCACATGTGGCTCATCAACAACTGGGGGTCTGTGTTTTCAGTCAACATCCTACCCATTCCCAAAGTGGTTACTGGATAGTTACTCAATTATTTGTACTATGCCTAAGAGCTTACCACCACTGTCATTGGGATAAGTTGTCACACTTGACTTTCCCACTATCTTGCAAGGTACCATTTTGGCGATTGGTTTTTCCTGTACAACATCCTGGTGGAAATGCTGACTACTGATAAATATAAGCAGCTCCCTTACTGTTAGCCACCAAACTGATCTTAGGCAATGGGCCTTGATCTACTCTTTGAGATCATTACTTCATTGGAGCAAATATTTGTTGGGTAAAGGGCAATTAAGTGAACTTACCTCTTCCAAAAGATAAACTGTACTGAATAACATTGTGCAGTATCAATAATGCCATTATATTGATTATTTTTTTCCTTTTATTGTTTTCTCAAGTATCTCTCAGATTGCCTTGCCAAATGATTGCTGATGAATTCTTACTTTGTTGGAACTAGAGATGAGGATTGGGATTTCCTTTCCCTTCCTTCAGGTTTTCCTAAGTAGCCAGCTATTCTTCGCTATCTCTTACCTCGGGTGCTGAAAGATCCTCCACAGGCATAATCTTCAGGCTTTATCACAAACACCACAAAGAACTGCTCGCCTGGAAAATCCTTCTTCTGCATAAGACATAACAACCTTATGATAGGCAGGTAAGAAAGAGTGAGAAGGGAGAAAGTCCATGGGGTAGGGGAGCCAAAAACAGCTGCAAAACTAGAAAACAGTTGCAAAGATAGAAGCCTACCTAGAGGAAAGAGAGGAAAAGTAAGGTTCACTTCTGCCCTCTAACTCCTTAAAAAGGATTTTCCTATACCCATGATCAGCTCCAGATTATCCATGATAATTGTTATGCCCAAGAACTTAAAGTGAATAGATGCATCATTCTGATTTCAATCTATTTTGTGTCCACTTGAGTGTTTAGAATTGTAATAGACACCATGTAAATAATATGCCAACAGCTTATATTTAAAAATTAATACTTGTACATTGGGTTTTATTTTAAAATCTAATGATAAGTAACTTTCCCAAAAGTCACACAGTCAACAGTTAAATAAATAATTTAGGTTAGAGAGGCGAAGGACTCACATCAGGAGACCTGAGTTACAGTCTTGCTTTGACTTTATAAGAGTGCTTCTCTGGTTCCCAGTTGTTAAATAAATAATTTAGGTTAGAGAGGCGAAGGACTCACGTCAGGAGACCTGAGTTACAGTCTTGCTTTGACTTTATAAGAGTGCTTCTCTGGTTCCCAGTTTCCATCTGTGAATGGAGTGTGGTTGACAAGATCATCTTTAAGATCCATTATAGTTCTACAACTCTGTCTTTTTTTTTCTATAATCCACAAATTTCTGGTATCATGTTTAGCCCAGTGAGAAAATGGCCCAAGACTGAAGCATGAGCCCAAAAGAGAAGTAACTATTTATTGCCAAACACATCCAAGGTAGACATGCACTGATACACTTTGCTCCTCATTAATTTAGTCTCCTGGATGATGTAAAATGAAAATTTTGAAGTTCCCTACTATAGCAATTTTTCTGTACTTTTAAATTTGGTATCACATAATGTTGGGATGCTCAGGAAGAAATAAATACTAAAAACAAGAGAAGATATTTGTGATATCACATCCGAGGCCCTCAAAAATTAAAGCCTAATTGCTAGAAATATTTAGGTCTGATACCTAAATTATAATTAACCTCTCTTTATTCTTTGCTTGTTATTCAATAAACAGTATCAACTTAGTCTAGAGAACAGATCAAGTCACCAGCACCTGAAGTAATTACCACCCCAAAGGCGAGACAGAATCTCTTTGAAAATATTCTGGCATGATGTGTGTACATTTTTGCTATAAAATTACAACTGAAATAATTTAATTACAAATACCAAAAAGGTAAACTGCTGCATAAATATCATTTATATTCCTTTGAACCTATCCAATCTGTCCAGAGTTGAAGTCCTCTTTTGGTTACTGTTACTGGTACACTTAATATATTTACTTGCGTTAAATTGACCCAATAAACTTCACCCTAAATTGGCACCCCTATTGAGTAGATTGGAATCTTCTGGCTTTACCCACACAAGCAGTCTGCCAGATATATGTCCCACAACACCATGGGCTTCCAAGAATCCCCAGGGGGAAAGAGGCACTTGGTAGAGTAGCACTGTCTACTATCACCTGGGCTTTGAGTTCAGGCATAGCAATCTTAATTTTTAAAGCAATTAGAAAGGAAAGAGATTCTAGGCACACAGTGGATGGCCAACCCTTTTGCATTTTGTTCCAAAGGTAAACTATCAATTAAGCTTTGCTATTGATAATAGTGACCACAGAAGCAATGTCTCACCTGTAGCGTGATGGCAGCTTTCTTAGTCATGGACTGATAGACACCATTAAATTCCACATTGTGGTCAAGATCATACACTGGGCACTGTAGTGTGCATGAAGGATAAAAAGGAAAGCATCAGTAATGTTATACAATGTTATACCACATATAGGTCTGTCGGGGCTTTTCCACCTGTACCAGAGCAGGAATCCCTACTAAGCCAGAAACCATGAAGAAAAGTTTTCCCCCTCAACAGTCATGAAATAATCCTCTTAAAACTTGGGGCCTTGTCCTCTAAAATCAAAGACAGTTTATATTGAAGAGAACTATGAAAGGATTGTCTTAAAGTGCCTTTCCCAGTTTTTGTTAACACTTCATGAGACAGAAAGGACCTAATGTTACAATAAAATTTAAAAATCAGAACAAACAATAGATTTCTATTTTATTTTTCTTGTGGAACTCACAACTTGGTCTTCCTTGTCTTTTGTCAGGACCCTTCCATTTTCCTCCCTCCCTCCCTCTGTCTTTCCCTTCCTTCCTTTCTTCTTTCCTTCAATTATTTTGGTGAAGAGTCACCTATTCTTTATCTCTCCAAATCTCTGTCTGCAAACATGGACTGCCCACTTGAATGCACAAGATACTGTTATTATTTAGCAGTTTTGGGGAGATGCACGGTAGAAGGATGACGTGGCCCTCACCCCTCTCTTTCATATATTCTGGGATAATATAATGCTCCATATTAGAAGGCTGGCAAATTATCAATGCACAAGATACTGTTATTATTTAGCAGTTTTGGGGAGATGCACGGTAGAAGGATGACGTGGCCCTCATCCCTCTCTTTCATATATTCTGGGATAATATAATGCTCCATATTAGAAGGCTGGCAAATTATCAGGACTCACCATGATATTCTGGACTGAGACAACGGAACATGGATAAGCAATTTTAGACACCACTTTAATGATAACTGAGTCCACATCTTTGGGAAATTTGTATAGAAAATACTGAGAATAAGAAAAAGAAAGACATGATTTGTAAATATTAAGCAATGTTTACAATCATGAACTCAATCTATTTTCACATGAATAGGATGGCTTCCTCTATTATTAGGCACAAAAATCAGATATAAATCTCAGTGAATCTTCATTATTTCAGCTAGCCAGCCATTCATCTCACACATAATGAGCAACTAACTGCTCTGCGCCGTGCTCGGTGCGGACATCGGGAAGAAGACAAAGTCGCTATTTCATACCATGCTGCCATTTCACTATCTACGGTATCACCATTTCTTTCTTAACTAAACTTTGCTACACTTCATTTTTATTACCCACGTAAGACGCATTCCCCCTTCTCTTTGAATTACAGATATGCGGATGTAACATGAGACAAGGTTTACTTCTGTGTGGTCGGGAAATGGGATGCTCCACACTGAAGATAAACTTCAAGAGTTCTCCCCACAGGCAAGAATTAGCACTAGACTAATCCTTCCCCTAGCACATTTGCTAAAGAATCTACTTCCTGGCTGGAATATACTGAGAAAATATTTGGATTCAAAGATCAAGTCCTACATCTAATCCCTGGAAATAAGTTGACAATTTGGGGCAGGTTGAGGTATCTTTAGAAGTATTTCTCAAATATTACCAGAATCAGGAAACATTTCTTTCTTTCTTTCTTTTTTTTTTTTTTTGTCCTTTTTGAGACCGGCCGCACCGCGCTCAGCCAGTGAGCGCACCGGTCATCCCTATATAGGATCCGAACCCGTGGCGGGAGCGCCACCGCGCTCCCAGCGCTGCACCCTCCCGAGTGTGCCACGGGCTCGGCCCAGAATCAGGAAACATTTCTAATAGAAAGAGGTTATACCTATAGATTATGAATCCACTGGACCGCGCTCCCAGCGCTGCACCCTCCCGAGTGTGCCATGGGCTCGACCCAGAATCAGGAAACATTTCTAATAGAAAGAGGTTATACCTATAGATTATGAATCCACTGGGAAAATATATTAACTCTAAGTTTTAAACATGTTGCTAATGATGAAAAAAGGGGAATTCTGCCCAATAATTATAAATGGTAACTTCTTGAGAAGCTATGTCAAGCTTATGATTTAGATTTTGAGGAAAGCAACCCAAACAAGCCCCATATCCTAGGACTCTAATAAATTTATCACTTTAAAAAAGAGGCAAAACATGTTAAAACTTAGTTTTGTATTTCAGTATCTTCTTTACTAACCCTATTTTGAGAACAAGCACAATAAAAATAGAATGTTTTTCAATAATCCCAAACTTTTTTTTTTTTAATTTTACTTCTCAAAATACATTGTAGTTGATTTTCATGCTCCTTTACCCATTCCTCTCAAATAATCCAAAACTTTCTAATGGGAGAAAAAAAATCACCTCAAGATTGAGTGTCATGAAGGCTGCTGTTTGGAAGTCTATTCATGCCTAGTAACAGATGGCCATACCCCTAAGAACCCACTTCACGTTGGAGCTGGATTCAAATACATGTAATACAGGGCTCTTCAAATGGTGAGTAGTCTGGGATTCCCAAGAGGTGCTCATGGTTCTCAGGGGAACCATACTTCATAACTCAAGAGCATTACTAGGCTTACTGTCAGCAGTTATGAACATCATATATATTCCTCTAAATAATAGTAATTGGTTTTGTGCAAGCAGTAGATACCTACTGAAGCCTTATCTATGTGCCTAAATATTATCAACCTTCTTTATCTCGAAATAACCATAGACCCCAAATAAATGTTTTTGATTCCTGCTCTGATAATCTCCTTTTACCAGAAAGAAGCAAATGACAAGTACCCAAAGCAATGGCTGGAATTTAGGCTGAAAATCACCATTTGCATCCTGACTGCATGCCCAGTTTCTACAACCTGCTTCTAGCTACAGGAGTAGAGGCAGACAATGATCGATGCAGGTTGTCTGAGAATGTGCAATCGTTTGGGTGAGCTTAAAGGAACAGGAAATGTTTCTTGCAATTGAAGAGGATATAAAATACAGGCTGAAATGGGAACAGTTAAGAGTAAAGAAAGACTTCCATAGATATCAGAGAATTTGTTTTATTAGTTTGTTCTAGTTTCGGGTTCACATACAAATTATTTAGGCTTTAATATCTATATACTTTTTAAAATAAAAAGAAGCCACAATATATGCTCATCACTAATTTTCAGTCTACAAGCCCTTCTATTATTTTATAGTGCATACAACATTCAGTATATCGTATTTATTATAGTTCTGCACAGGATTATTAGGCTGTACTGTTCCTGTAGTTAGAGTACAAGTTGGTCTTCCCTTTTCTAAGGATCTCCCATTGCACCTAATAACTAGTGCTTTCTAAATATTTTTTGAAATTAAATGGTCAAGGCCGGCCCGTGGCTCACTCAGTAGAGTGCGGTGCTGATAACACCAAGGCCACGGGTTCGGATCCTATATAGGGATGGCCGGTTTGCTCACTGGCTGAGCGTGGTGCTGACAACACCAAGCCAAGGGTTGAGATCCCCTTACCGGTCATCTTTTAAAAAAAAAAAAAAAAAGGAAGAAAGAAATTAAATGGTCAGCAAATGTTGAGGGCAACAGATTATGGGCCAGTGGCCCTCTCCTGCCACTGGGTGGCAGTATATATGCACTGCAGAGACTTCCACTGAAAGGGGAAATTTAACTCTTAAAAGGTGTATGGGCTTAGGGCTAGCCTGTGGCTCACAAGGGAGAGTCTGGTGCTGATAACACCAAGGCCAAGGGTTTGGATCCCTATATAGGGGTGGCCGGTTAGCTCACTTGGGAGAGCGTGGTGCTGGTAACACCAAGTCAAGGGTTAAGATCCCCTTACCGGTCATCTCGTCTTTTTTTTAAAAAAAAAAAGATTGAGAAAACTGATTGTATGTGTCTCTTCCCAACTCTAAAAACAAACTAGCCATAATACTAATAATACAAATAACACTATATTTCAGCTTGCAAAAAAAAAAAAAAAAATTACAGTGAGTATCAGGACATTAAGCAAACCTGTTTTAAACTTGCTATTGTATAGACTTTACTCTTACACAAGAACTGAAAGGAAAAATGAAGGTAGCTAGAAATCTCACCAGAAAAACAGCTTTAATTAAAGTTCTCATGCATTTATTCTGTTTATGATTATGGCTTAATGGAGACCACAACAAAAATATCTAATTCTCCTAATACTTTTTGTTGGCATTCTTGCTCTTTCTTTATAACAAACAGGAGAAACTCCTCTACTCCACCTATAACATTGCAGAAATTAAAATGTCTTATTTTTATTGTATTTCCAGGTCAATTAATTATTTGTGTGTCTGCTTGGTGACAGCCTTCCACTCCCTGTTCCCCCTGCCCCATCCTGACTATTGGGTCCATAATGGCAGAAGTTCCACCTCTCTCTTCTTCATCCTTGTGTCTCCAGCACCTAGAACAGTCTAACATTGTGCTGGGTACACAGTAGGCACACAATTTGATCAATGAAGGTTGAACCAAGGGACACCTGAAAACAAACATCATTTTCCCACTCACACTAATTAAGGTGATCAGATTAAATGTTGTGTTCAAAATCCCATTAACATTAGTAACAATCCAGGATATAAGTATACCTCAAGGATATATATGAAGGATCAAGGGTAATACCACATGCTGACTCTACCTGTTACCATGATTTCTTTGGGCAATACCAACAGGTAGGATCTTGATAACTCTTGGAACCTGTCACTTACCTGAGGTTGAGAGGGGCTGGCAGTGAAGTGAAAGGCAACATTTGTCCTGAAAAACATAAGTGGGAGAAGGGAAAGGGGGAAAATGAGAGAATAGCATAAGTTAACAAGCAAAAATTATTTATTTAAAAGAGCCATCTTAAACTAGATGCAAGGAGAGCCTCTCCCTTTATGAAGGGATTTCTGACCCCGTCAAACTGACAAAATAAACTGCATGGGGGCTCAGTGGTTTCAACTCTTGAGAATGATCAAATTGGGGAAAGGGATTGTTTTTATGTCTTTGAATATCTATGGAGTCATACCTATATAAGTAAGTACTTTGTTTACTTTTGCAGACACTTTTGCTTGGTCTCTCTTAAGATTTTACAATCAAACAAAGGGCTTAGGTATCAGAAATAGGCTGAAAGACATAGGAAACATAGGTTCAACGTCCCTTTGTTTTTGTTATGTTTTGTTTTCCCCTTTGGATAATATATATACCACTTCAAAATAATTTTGATGGATACATGGCAAAATATCTTTTAAAAAAAACATGGTGATGATAAAACCAAGGTCCAGGGTTTGATCGCTGTACTAGCCAGCCACAAAAATAAATAGATAGATAAATGAATGAATGAATGAATGAATGAATGAATGAATAAATAAATAAATAAATAAATATAAAAACATGGTGAATAAGTCATCACCATGGGACAGTCCCTAGGTGGCCGCAGTTGCTGGCCACACCAGCTGAAATTGTTCTTCAAGATTTCCTCCTCTTTGGATTAGGCATTGTCTTCTAAGGCCCTACTTTAAAAGATAAATTTCACGAAATGAATATAATAAAGTTATTTTCTCTCCAATTAGTAATAAATGGTGAATTATTTCATTCTTCTGTGAAAGACATCAGTGATCCAGACACTGAGGATAGGAGAGTGTGGGGAGTATATAGGAAACATAATAAGTTGGTAGCATAGAGTACTGTCTAGAGGGAACATTTGTGAAACAGTCCAAGAGTCTGGAAAACACAAAGACAAATTTGGTCTTTTCTATAGTTTCGTAAAGGCTGCTTTCGGGTTTTTGGCCTTTCTGGTTCTTGCCTCATTGTTAGCCAGGAAGATCACTCATACAAGTTCACTGTACTGTCAATTTCCTGGGCTGCTGAAACACCCCACTTGGGGGTGGCGTGCCCCTACCCCTTCCATGTGGCCTGTATTTCTGGGATTCTGAATCTAAACTTCTAGGATCCCTCATCAGCTTTATCCCCTGGGGCTCTTTGCAGTTTCCTTCCACTCCTAATTTTCCTTTTACAAAAACTAAATAATTTAAAATTAAAGTTTCCTTGAGAAAGGGCATGTCAAGATATTTAAATGAGACATCTTCAGTTAGTGTTCTATCTAGAAGTCACAACCTCTGAGCACTCTTTATAGAGGTAACGACCTCTATTTAGGTTGTCATGGGACGGGGCTCAGAATTTAAGCTCACAACAATGGAAGCAATTTTTATATTCCACATTCAACAGAAATCGCCATCCACTATGCTGAAGCATAGTTGAAAACTTCTGGTTTTCAGTTACCTAAAGAAGCCAAATGAGTGTCAAATCCAGTTGTGTTTCTGCTCGAGGGTCCAGAGCCAGGGTTAGGACCCGCAGTGCTGTCTGTGCCCTGGGTAGCCCTTCCAGCAGTCTGGGGAATGTCACCTGCTATCGCCAGGGGAACACGGGGCCTTCAACTCTCTTCCTTGTCAGGTCAGAGGAACAAAGAGGACACTGATTTTCTTGGCTAGCAACAGACAGCATGAGATTTCCGGGAGAAAACTATTTTTTTTGGCTTAAAGTTTGCTTTTTTATTCCTCCTACATTTGAATTCCAAGTGTAATACTGAATATAAAGACATCAATATGCACTTTCTGTTTTTTTTTCTTGTTCTTCATGTTTTATTTGCTAGTACAACACATGCAAACTTTGAAAACATATTATTGTTTTCAAGACTATCATGTTTAAGTCCTCTCTCATGGAGTCACCAGTATGTGCAAAATAAACACTGTGTCTGCTGCAGATGAAACATTCTCCTTCCTTCCACTTGGACCCTAACAGGGGTGGGGAAGGTTTATTTTATCAAGGGTCATTAGCCAACAGAACAAAGCTAATTGGAACTCATATATACCTTTAGTTTTAGAGAAAGAAGCATAAAAATGTCAACTTATTTTAAAAATTTAACACAAGAAACAAATGCTTATTCAAGAATTATAAGAGACTAAAAACCAATTTTGTTTCCTTGTTTTGGCCATTTCAATGAAGGGGAGAAGGGAAGAGGAACAGGAGTCAAGAGAGATGGGGTGTAGAAGGAAGAAGGGGAAAGAAGGGGCAGAGAGGGACCCATGGGGAAGGTAGAAAGAGGGAGAAGAAATATATAGAGGAGAGTAATAAAATAAAATAAAATAAACTGAAAGAGATGGGAAGAAAGAGTAACTGAAAAGAGAGACAGGGACAAAAGTTCAGCAGATTTTAGGTGAGTTCAGAGAGGTCTCTGAGACTCACAGCACTTCATTCACCTAATGTTAGCAAGCCCTTAGCACAGAGTATAGCGGGGTTCAAAATCCCCACTTGGTTTGCTGAAGGAAATTATACCCTATTATTCACTTGGACTGTGAACTTCAGAATATTATTTCCTGTTATCTCCTTACTGCCATCTGTCACGAATCCCCTTCACTCCCCTAACTTTCCCACCAACCCCCTGTCACTTATAACCCTCTGCCCTGTGTCCCTCTGGTCCAAGTATAAACTCTGCACTTGTGTGTTAAATTCCATCCCTTCTACCCTTCTTGGTGACTTTGCTTCTACAAATATCTAACTTTCCTATGAATGTAATCTGCCTTCCTACCCCTTTGTTTATAAATATACTCTAGTCTCAACCATTTTCAAAATAAATAACAAACAAATAAAATACCCCAACACGTTTCCTCCTTTATCCCTGTATCTCCCTCCTTTAATGTCATCCTATGTCTTTCTTCTCCTTTACAAACCAGCCTTTTAAAAGTATTCTACTCATTCTTTCCTCTTCCCACCACTATCAGATTATTTCCCCACTATCCCCTTGAAACTGCCTTTGCTAAGGGAAATAGTCACCTTCTGTCTTAGTCCATTAGGGCAGCTATAACAAAATACCATAGACTAGGTGACTTACAAACAACAGAAATTTATTTCTCACACCTCCGGAGGCTGGGAAGTCCAAGATCAAGGCCTGCAGATTTGTGTCTGGTGAGGGCCCACTTCCTTATAGATGGCACCCTCTCAACGCATCTTCACGTGGTGGAAGGGACAAGGGGTCTTTCTTGGGCCTCTTTTATAAGGGTACTAATCCCATTCATGAGGGCTCCATCCTCATCACCCAAACATCTCCCAAAGGCCCCACCTCCTAATACCTAATAATAAGATTACTTGGGAGTTAGGATGTGAACATATCAATTTTGGGGAACACAAACATTCTACCATAGCCCCTTCTACTTGCTAAAGCCACTGACTTGACCCTCAACTGTCTTTACTTTTCTGTTACATTTGACACCGACAACCACTTGCTCTGTCTTGGAACACTTTCCTCCCCTGGCCTCCATGATACCTGCTTTCCTGGCATCTGGCTGTGCCTCCTCAGCCACTTTTGATAGCTCTTGTTTCTCAGACCATCCCTTAAGTGAGAGTATTACCCACAGTCTTGTTCTTGATCCTCTCATTTTCTTTAGTCACATTATATATAAGGGTACTTAAAAAAGTTTGTGGAAAGATTCATATTATCTTTTAATTCTATTTTTCCACAAACTTTTTGACAGCCTCGTGTGTGTGTGTGTGAGCGTGCGCGTGCACGCGCACACATGTGCATGTGTATTCAGTTGCCATAAACACCACAAAAATGCCAGTGAATCTCAAGTCTCCATGTCCAGCCCAGGGCCATCTCCTGAGCTCCAGTCACATAACAGATATGGCCTACGGGGCTTCTGCACTTGACCATTCCTCAAACACCTCAAATTCCACATGATCACAATGGAATGTACTGTCACTTCCCTGATCCACTATGTCACTTTATCAGTAAGCCTCACCAGACTTCTGACCTCATTGTAGGAGTCTTCTTGGACTTTTCCTTTTCTGTCACCTTCCACATTTGATTGATCACCAAGTCCCATTCATTCTATTAGTGTGAAAGTAACCTGGACGCACCTGCCCCCACCCGAAGCGTCATCTTTGCCCAGTATAGCATTAATAGAAAAAAGCCTTCAACAGTAATGTAAATGTTTATGTAGTCTCCCCTAAAATACCAAATCATGATTACATAGTATGACACATAGCAAAATGTTCTGAAAGCCTCTTACCCATCCACTTCCTAAAAAAAATCTACTACTTTTCACACCATGGTAGCTGAGCTATTTCAATCACACGCTTGCTCTCAAAACAGACTCACGTTCCCTACTTAGAAGTCTAGAGGAAGGTCGAAAGCTACAAGAATTCATATAAGACTATAGTTTTTATTCTGCCACATATGTTTGTTGAATTTGTAAATTATTCCCATGTGTATTGTTTAATTATTTTTCTTCCTTACGACTTTTTTGCTGCCAAAATATGTTCAGGTTCTAATAATTTTTTATTATGGCCTATTTAAATAATTTTTTATTATGGCCTATTTAAATAATTTTTCATTTGCCTATTTGTCTCTCCTCTCCCCTCTCTCCAATTCGTCTTCCACACTGCCACTAAAGTCATTTCTAAAAATCAAATCTGTTCATGTTATTTTATCACTTAAAATCCTCTAGTGGCACGTGTGACCTGAAAGGTGAAGTCCCAACTCTCTAGCACAGCATCCAAGATCTTAAAGATCAAGGTTGGGCACTGCCTGTTTCTCCAGCCCTAGCTCCTGTGGCTGCGCCTCAGGTGCCATGTGGACCCACCTTCCTGAAATGTTTCTAGTGTTTCTACTCTGTCTGCTGTCTGTAAATCTGACCTCGCCCTGACGTCACGCTGGCTCATATCCGACACTTTGCCATATGTCTGCTCTTCAAACTCGACGCATCCAAAAGTGAACTTAACATGTCTTCCTTCTCTCCTCAGAACTCTTATTTTCTCTTAGTGGCACCGCTGTCTACAAACTACACTGTCCTCCTTGACTCTCCCATTTCCCTTTCCCCTCGTAGCCAATCAGAGTTTGTCAGTCTCACCTAAATTCTTCCATTCACCTCCTCACTGTTTATCTTGACCACCGCATCAACCTTCTAACTTCTCTACATCCAATCTTGTTCCCTTCAAGTCCATTCTCCACACAACTGTTGCAGGTAGACAACTGTCTAGGTTTCTACCTGCTCCTCCTACTCCATGCTCGGCTCCTCCCACCCCATGCTCGGGCTCCTCCCACCCCATGCTCGGGCTCCTCCCACCCCATGCTCAGGCGCCTGCTCCTACGGCCTCCTGCTGTTCCCTGCCCATGACTTCACACTCCAGCAGCACTGAATACCGGGCACTGAAGTCTGGGAAAATTAGTAGTGGCAAAGCTGCACATGTGTGTGGAGAGGGCTAGGGTATGGGTAGAAATGCAGGGGGAAAGGCTTTAAGGCAAAGTTATTTTATTTTAAAAGCTGTATTTAAATAAATAAGTAATTGAGAAACATATTTAGGGGAACATAAAAGTTAGGAAGACAGTTTTAAACCGAAAGTAGAAATAGTATGTTATGATGAGACGAGCTCAGAACTGAGAGTCAGAAATAGAAGTTAGTTATGATTTTTCCTTTTCCTATCTGTATGAGTTTGGACAAGTCATTTAACCCCTCTGAGCATCACTTTGCTCATCTGTAAAAATACGGTGGGTGGATTACATTCCCAAAGTTTCTTCAATTATTAAAATTTATAATTCTAGACAGAAACAATCCTAGAATGCGTTCCATACATTCTAGCCTGTCACTCAAAAATACAACAGAAAGTGCAACGTTAGGGATTTGGAGTTAATTCTTCAGTGTTTCTCTCAATTCCTGGAGCCCAATTCTTGCCACAGTCCTCAGATCTTCCCCCCTTACCATCATCTCTGGATTTCTGGGCCACCAGCAAGCTGGTGGAGCCAAGGAGGAAGAGACACATATCTCGGCTACCATCTCTTCTCAGGCTTATCTTGGTCTTATAAAAGCCCTGGTAACTGTATGCATTTTGAAATGCTCTAAGTGTCTGGTTTCACATTATAAGAGGTGAAAATAGAAAACAATGTGAGGAAATAGATCTGCAGTTTCACCAGCATGCACATCATTCACTGACACTCGCTTAGAGTTGTGACCTCATGACTTCAGTTTCATAGAATCCAGTTCTCCAAAAGTCTAATTAATCTCACAGAAAACTGGCCCTACAATTCAAGTATATTGCCACCAGGTGACAGTAACAGGTCAAAGACACAGAGACCAATCAGTAAAGGCAAGGCTTCTCCTAAGTTCAAACTGCACTCTGTTCAAGTAATGTGCTGCCATCCCCATCAAACAGATAACAATGAATTCCCATAGGGTTTAATATCATAAATAGATTTTTAAGTTATTAAATTTAAGCGCCATATTGGGAGTTGCTTCAGAATAGTGGTTCTCAACCCTGGCCACACATTAGAATCACCTGGAGAACCTTAAAAAATATACCAGTGTCCAAAACTCCCCTCTATAGACTCTGATTTAATTGGTTTGGGTGGGACTTATCCACCACAGAATCTTTTTATGCTTGTTTTTTTTGGGGGGCGAAGATAGGGGGAGAGAAGGAGTGTTCTTTGTTCTTGATATTATCATGTCACCTTTTTCAACACCGGAATTAAATAAAGGGACTTGGAAAAAATGCTGTGACGACTTCTCCATCCTTCTGACCATTCATTCATCCATTGTCTGTCCATCTGTCTCTATGGGTATAGCACTATGTCAAGAGGTGTAAAGAAGACCAAGATAAATATTTGATTCTTATTAGCAACTCCACTGGCTACAGACCTCTTTATAAACCGCCTTAGGAAATGTAAAGAGAGATTTATAATAGAACAGAGCATTCTGATCAGAAAAATAACCTGCAAAAAAGTAGCATATACTATTTTAAAATATCCTGATTTATAAAAAATTATCTTTTTATTGAAATATAACCAAACTATGGAAAATTACGAAAGTTATAAGCAAATATCTAAATAAATTATCACCAGATAATCATAATCATGGATGACTTCTTTCCTCCTCAAAGGTACCACTATCTTGACTTCTAACATTACAGAATAGTTTTGCCTGTTTTTGTACTTTATATAAATGGAATCAAACAGCATGTATTTCTCTTGTCTGGCTTCTTTTGCTCAACATCATGAGGTTTATCCACATTTTTATGGACAGCAATAGTGTGTTCATTTTTGAATGCATGTATACCAGTTATACATCCAGAAGTTGGTTATATAACTAGGAGTGAAACTGCATTGTCAGGGCTTTCAAGTTATAACAATTAGATAGTTGTAGTGGATTCTCAAAATGGCTTTAATTTATATTTCTGACAGCTAATTAGGTTTTGGTTTTTGACCATTTGGGCAGCTTCTTTGATGAAGTTTCCAAGTCTCATGACTATGTTTTTCAACAAGCTTGTCCATTTGTTTTATTTTCTAAAAAACAGGGACAAAAATATTACTTAGTCACTCCAAAGAAGGACAAAGCTACTCCCACCTGGAAGGAAAAAACTGGAATTGCATAAAGTCGTCCTTAAAACAAAATGCAACTTCTTTCAGAAGTGGAGCACTGCTTCATAATACCAAAGTCCTCAGTCACCAGTAATTCTTGCCTGGACTGTGGGCCAGATAGGGCCCCCTCACAGACCCCCTAAAACAGATACACCTAGGAGGTCAACTGCTCCTACCCTCTCTACCAGTCCCCTGCTTCCTCCCTATTGCATTGATTAAGGCACTGCTGTCCATCTACCCAAGGCAGGAGAGTTCAGAAAGTGCTCAGTTAATATGCTAAGCGGATAATCTCCCTCTAGAATGCAAATCTGTAAGGATGGAAGCTGAACTGAGCATCACAGCCCAGGAAGAGCAGACAAGTAAACAGATAAAGGCCACATGAATCCTGCTTACTGGAGCTGGAAGTGCTTGATCTTGGTAACCAGCAGCTTGTACTGGGCCCCCAGTGGTGCCATGGATGCCACATCTACAAATATCAGTTGCTCTAGGGGTCCTGTTTCATTGGTCGCTTCTGAGGGACACAAGGTGCGGCTGACTTCCTGGTAGTTGTAGCTCCTCTGGTATCTGCAGCAGCCAATGGAGGGAAAAACCAGAAAAACAAGAAAGAGACTCAAAGAATAAATAGGGGAAAAAGACTGTCTCATTGTATGAACATCTCTCTGAATTTGTTTTCAAGTCCTTATGTTTTAAGTTTCAGAACTAGTCATTTTAGAACTAGTGCTGTTGGCTTTGGGTTGTGTGACATAATAACAGGGACATGAGGACTGTTCTGTGCTGATCAATTCACTTGAACAGGGTCTGCATTACACTAAGCCATCACCATAATTCAGTGAGGAAAAAATATCAAATTTTGAGGGGGGAACTGTCCTAGACAATTGCTAAAACAATCGGGTGATTCAATTTTTCCACTCTTCAAACTTTTGCTAATATAATGGTAAAGAAAGCCCCAGAGTCCAAGTCAAGGCTATCAGAGTCAGTATTCCAATCCTCAAATTCCTCAACCTTTAAAAGTGATGCAACAGCTTACTACGTGCCCATTCGTGTATGCCTTCTGGGTTTCTCCTTGGTAGTGCTTAAGTTCCATATATCAGTTCTCCCTGGTGAAAATACAAACTCCATGAGGGCAGAGACTTTGGAGCTTTTTCCTCTGCTGTATCCCCAGCACCTGCCATTTAGTAGTGTTCGGTATATGTTATTGGCTGAGGATTGCACATGTGGTGGACATCTTGAAGAATGGGGAGGTGTCACTCACTCATGTTGACTGCTGGGCCTTGCCCATTGGATAGCTACTGGATTACCCACTATCCAACCAAGAGCAACAGAACATAATGGCAGAATTGAAAAATGGTAAAAGTTCTTCCAGGTGCTACAAATCTAGGCAGAGTGCTTATCTGAAATTCTGAGAGGATGAAAATTGAGCAGAGCTGAATGGGTCAGGGTATGCACCATGACCATTGTTTGCACTTAGTATCTGTAATATCTTAATATTCCAGATATAAGATTTCTCCTTTCACTAGGGAAAAGACTGATTAAGGTCCAGGACAGTGAGGAAAACCAAATGTAGTGAAGTTGTCTAGGAAAAGACCCACTTACAGTCCTTGGAAGAGCAGAGGAACCTGCCAGGACAGCACTTCTTTCTGCTGGCGAACCACAACGAGGACTGGGTAGTCAAGGTTCTCAGAAGAACTGTTCACGTACACCCGCACGGCGGTCACCTGTGTGGTGGGGTAGAGAGAGGTAACACAAACCATGCACATGCACACACACATGCACACGCACTGGCCCCATAGCTGCCATCTGAGGCTCAGAAAAACGTTAATTTCTGACACTTGCTTCCAAGATAAAGCCAAGTGCCCCGGTTGTTTTTCCTCATTCATATTGTAACCTGAGCAAGTCTCAACCTTGATTGCACATTGAAATCACACAGGAAGTTTTAAAAAAACTGATGCCGGGGTCCAATCCGCCAAAATTCTGATTCAATTGGTCTTGGAGGATGCCAAACTATGGAGCCTTCAAACAGCAGCATGAGGAATTAGAACTGAGCAGTCAACACAAGATTGTGATAATAAGCCCAGGACAGGAAAAAAAGATATTGACATGCTTTTCTTATTTGAATATTGATGCTAAAGATACGAATACCTAAAAAAAAACACCCAAAGCCGACTCCTCTGCCCTCCAAAACCCTACAAGACCTTCAATTGCTGACAAACTTTAATTTTGGCTTGGTAAATCATTCTATGTTTCAAACCAAAATGTTATGACCACATTTTATTAAAGCTTAACAGACGGCTTGATGCTCCCACCAACAAATCATGATGCTTCCCCAGCAACAGATACCACAGGGGCTGAGTATTCTCTTTTTCCACTCCAAGATGTAAACCAAACCCTGACACAAAATGCTTTTTAATATCAGCAGCTCCATGGCTCCTTCTGAATACACATGTCAACTGAAGGATTAACCCTATCACGGATGTTTTAAAGATAGGAAATTGAACTATGGCTCTGGATCTAGATGGTTTTGGTAATTTTCTTAACTTTTTATAATACCATAGGCAACATGGAAGAGAAAAAAATAGAAGAAAGGCAGGGTTAAAAAGAAAAAGTAAAATTTGATCTTCTATATGAGATTTCTTTTTATTTTATTTTATTTTTTTCCTTTTTGTCTTTTTTCGTGTCCGGCAATGGATCGCAACCCTCAGTGTCGTGCCCGTGCCGGACCGGGACCGGCAACGGGATTGCAACCCTCGGTGTTGCGGCCGCAACTCGCTCAGCCAGTGAGCGGGAACCGGTCTGTATGTGGGATCCGAACCCTCGGCGGGAGCGCCGCCATGCTCCCAAGCGGCGCACTGTAGCAGTGCGCCACCGGGCCGGCCCTGAGATTTATTTTTCTAATGCCTTAGTGTTCTCTTGAAAACTCTTTTATTAGGGGAAAGAAAATGAAACAAGAAAACCCTGCAATTGTACCCTGAAGATTTTATTACACATCCAAAATGGAAATTGAGAGGAAACAAACAGCGTACATCTCACATATTGCCATTTGGTTCTCTTATATCATTCTCCTTGATCAAGCCACCTTTGCTTTTTTAATGTTGAAAAAGTCCCAGAGTAATTAATTTGGCAAGAAGTGCTAGCTCATGAAAGGAGCGTTTTCTTATGCCTGCACTGTATGTGTTTCCATGGAAATTATGCTGCAGCTGATAATTGCCATAACACTTTCTCTAGGGCAGACCTCTTTCCTAAGCTCTGGATATCCCACAGGTAGCTCCAACTCAGCATGTCTGAAATGGAATCTACCACTCCTTCACCCCTGACTTTAATGTCTTCTGAATTCCCTTGCCCAATGAATGGCCCCACCAGGCAGTAGTTCATCTAAGACTGAAACTTCAAAGTCATATCTGATTTCTACTTTTTTAGTTCCCTCAATCAATGGTTCTACTGCTTCTATCTCCTTAATACTGTCCATACCAGACCCTCCTCTCCACCCCCAATGGCAGTCTCATAGCTCAGTCCTTTATCACTGTGCCCCCTCCTTAACCTATCCCCAGGGTTGCACCCCCTAGGATACCACTTTCATCTGTCATTCCCTTGAAGATCAGAAACAGAACTTAAAAATATGCATTTTAAACAATCCTGGGGGATCCTGATGTACATGGTTTGGGGTCTACACTTTGGGAAGTACTGTTCAAAGAAATGATCTAATAGATGATGCCATTTGTCAGCAACTTGCCAACTGCCTGTTATCATGAGCTGCACATCCATGAGATCACCAATGTCATAGCACTTCTGGAAACCAGTGTTTGTTGCTGCTGAAACTGGGCCGGCAGAACAGATGTATCATTGTCATGTTTATCCCCACTCTACAGTTCATCTCCACACCCTAATTTTATTCCTGGTCTGGCTCTTGTAATCCATTTACTTTTTTATTATTTAATAATGATCTTGCTACTATAATAAAAACAAACACAGAGATACCAGAATAATAAATTGCAAATATATATTAGAGTAGGAGATAGAAGATTCTGGGCAGTTTTCCAATATGAACAGATAATGGATTACCCCTAAAAAGGATGAAGAGCTCTGTTCAAAATTTGCTTTGCCTTTCCAGAGGCTATTGTGCAGCTGAGAAAATTTGATTACATTTGTAGCAGCAAACTAAGCTGGGTAAAGGCAAACCTAAATGAAGGACAGGGTATTGACCATGCTTGTAACAGGTCATTCTTAACAGCTAAGATTTTTCCTCCTGTTGCTTCTTCCTGTTGTCATGACAACAAGAGCATTTTTATTACATAGATCTTGTTTTTTTTCTATATCTACTACAAGCAGGGAATTGCACTGTAGCTAAGAAAAAATTATTTAAGTACTTCCATCTCTGATATTATATAGATCATGATTATGAAAAGTTTTAAAGCTTAGAATCCCTTTTTAATTTTTTAGAACATGTCAGTGGGGAAAAGTTCAAAATCATGAGTAATATATTTCTGTTACATAAAAGGGATGAAAATGAACTTAGCTCAAAATCTAGATTATTTTTGCTAAAATAATGAAACTGTAGGCTCTATTAGTTGACTTGCTCTGTCTTGGAACACTTTCCTCCCCTGGCCTCCATGATACCTGCTTTCCTGGCATCAGGTTAAGAACATCAGGTTAAGAACAGAGATTATTGGTTTGCATTATTAAGCACACTGTTGTTTGCCTGTGTGATCTTGAAAAACTGACTCCACTTGTGAAACAGCTACAATAGTATTTGCTGATGGTCCCTTTTCCTAATGTGTAACTGTTTTAGTAACTCTGTTGTGTTCACTGAGTGTTTATCTGTGGGTATTTAGGTCCTTTCTTCCTCTCCCTCCCTCCTTCCCTCTTTCCTTCCCTCGCTTCCTTCTTTCCTTCTTTTCCATTCTCCCACCATTATTCATCAAATATTCACTGAGGGTTAACTCTGAGTTGAGAGCTATGGGAGGTGCTGGCAATATGCTAAAGACAACCTTGGCCTTGAGGAGGTTCATGATCTAGTCATAGAGACAAATGGACAACCCACTGATAACAGCAGAACAGTGATGAGTATTGTAGCAACGCGAGCAGGTGCTATGGGCACACAGAGGACAAAGCGACTACCCCTATGGGGGAGTCAGGGAAAGCAACCTAGAGGCTGATCAGTCACTTACTAAGTTAACGAAGTTGGGGTCTTCCACATAGATCCTGTCATTCCCTGCTTGGTGCATAAGACCTTGACTCAATAGAGTTAGAAAACCTTACACTGGGGAAGGTGCTCAAGGAGATCATCTAGTCTAACGTTCCCATTCACAGATGAGAAGCCAAAGACATAGAGGTGAAGTGACTTCTTCAAGGATAATGAACTATGGAGGAATCATGACTAAAATCCGAGATTCCTGCATTCCTGTCTCCACACAGTGCTTGGTCAGAATACGTTGTCATCACTGTTTTGAACCCTTGGCTTCACTGAACAACACTAGAGGTGAAGTGACTTCTTCAAGGATAATGAACTATGGAGGAATCATGACTAAAATCCGAGCTTCCTGCATTCCTGTCTCCACACAGTGCTTGGTCAGAATACGTTGTCATCACTGTTTTGAACCCTTGGCTTCACTGAACAACACTGTGCATCTTCTGCTATTCTTCCACTATAAAATCAAGAAGCTGTGTAAACATCATAAATGAAGGGAAGAGACAAGACACAGACTAGGAGATGTTGTTTGTACATATATAACAGGAAAAATATCAGTATCTTGAATATATAAAGAACCATTAAAATGCATAAGAAAAAAATAACAACCAGTGAAAAAATGGGTTAAGGATGTAAGCAACAACCAAAGAGGGGAAGAATGACCAAAGAATGTGTGAAAATATGTAGCACTTTATACTCATCAGAAAGGTAAAGCCTCACAAGTATGACAATACCGTGTTGTCAAGGATGTAGAGAAACACACTTGCATAGTGCTGATGAAAATGTTATTTGGTACAATCAGTTCAGAGAGCAAGTTGGCACTATCTACTAAAGTTGAAGATGAATTCGCATTACATTTTAGCATTTCAACTCCTAAGTTTATACACAGGAAAAACTCTTACCTATGCAAAGGAATCAAGAACTAGAATGTTCAGTGTAAGCATTGGTTGCAACAATAAAATTTGGAAACAACCTAATGACAAAAAAACAAGCTAAATAACAGAAGTATGAATAAGTAAGTTGTATTCACACAGCGAAATGTTATATAGTCACTAAAAGTGAATGAACTGGAATATGGACCAGTATGTATAAATCTCAAGAAGATAAATTGAGAGAAAAAGCAGATTACTGAAGGAGACCTACTACATAGTTCCATTTATGTAAACTTTATAAACAAGCAAAACAACAGAATATAGATATTTAGTAAAATACACATGCATGGAAATAATAAACACCAAATTTAAGATAATGAATTTCAAGAACTTTGGAGGATTTGAGACTTTACCCCATTTGCCACAGTTTCATCAGTTCTGGGAGAAGACACAAGCCTCCTGGGTTGAAGACAAAGAACTATCACTCTTGTCACAGCAAGCAGCATTAGCATCCCTTCCCCTTGTCCCCAAGTACCATGAAGGTGACAGGAATGGGCCTACATATGTGAAGTAGGTTGCACTATAGAAGAGGAACCCAGAGCTTAGGGAACCCACATCTCTTATAATGTGCGGTAAGCCTTCCTGCCCTTTGCTCCAGAGG